GATCTGAAAGTTCTTCTATTTTAACATTTAACAAATATGAAGAATGTGGAAGGCCATGGAAAGTGGGCCACCTCCATTTCTTTCTTGGATGCTTGGGGAAAGCAAAACTACTTATGGTAGATAAAGACTTTAGGGTGGAATTTCAAATTTAAGTGCTTGGAGGTCTGTAAATGAATAGACTCAGTTTAAAAGGCATGAGTCATAAAACCATGATTCTGAGGGTATGTGTTGTTGTGATAGGCTGATTATTCCTGCTGACTGAATAATATGGAGTCAAATCCCATCATAAAATTAAAGCATCTCATTCTAGGCCTTACTCTTATGCACTGGTATTTTGAGAGGAAAATGATGGACAGGTGTAGCTTCTTGTTTGTATGATAACAAAGTCATTTCCCACATCAATCGAAATGTCTTCAGAAAGGAATAATTTCTATTGAAGGGGAAGCCAGTTGCTAATTTCCTTCACCTGGGCAACCAGAACTCCTTCGAGCACTCAATAAACACAAATGTTTTTGTGCCTTAGAAAAGATCTGTAAGTTTTTAGGTTGACAATACTCTAGTATTACCTGTTTTAAAATAAAACAAAACCCCACTTTATCATCAACACAAAATCCAAATGTAGAGGAAACATACACTCATTTATAAACTTTTTAATTCTTCCTTTTGTTTGGTAGTTATCTGAAAAGCATGTGTGAGGTAATCTAAACACCAAAGCCACACTTATAGATACCAGACAGCCTGCACGCCACAGTACTTTCTATTCTTTCCTGGGTATTCTTCTTAAACACCATCTAGAGACTGGATCTGCACAATTTTGTCATTTCTGGTGACCTAAAGTCTCTCAAACCCACTTCGCAGTGACCTGATGACATACATGTCAGAGAAAATCTTCACTGAAACATACTTAGTGCTTTCTTAAAATCCAATCTTCCAGGATCTATTTCTCCTTCAGTGATTGCTCCTCCATCTCTTCTTGCCCCTCAAGAAAGCAGAATACACCTTTTCCTAAAATTCACAGAAATATATTTTTTAATGAAATTTTATTTTAGTCTAACCATGCAGGAAGCTATTACTATCCGTTATCTTTATGTGCATGATTAGGAATAATAGCTGATTTGTGAAGTTATCTATTACGGGAAATAATCAAGATTAATGAGCCCTGTGGCACTTGCTGGATGCCTCAAGAGATTTATTCCTCAGGCTGTGCATTTCTCTTGTTGTGTTGGTGCTGTCAGGATTTTTTTACAAACGCAAATGGAGACATGGATTAATTGTAGAAAAGGAAAAAAACTCTTTCAATGTTATCAAATATTTTGGACTGCTCAGCCCACCTCTCTCAATGATACTATTTTATTTTATATAATGATGTAGGAGTCTACTTCCTATCAGCCTTTAGACCCTGTGGATGGTCTATAGCTTACAGACTCTGTGACATAAAAGCAGATACAAGGGATGCTGTTCACTTAACGATCCTGTCCCAAAGTGAAAATACAGCCTAAATGGTCAGAAAAAACATGGGTGCTATTTCTGCAAGTGCTGTGAGAGTTTAAAACATTTGCTCAACCAGGGAGTTGCTATCTTCTCCTCAGTAGAACTGCCCAACAGCTATGGGGCTATTACAGATGGCATTGAAAATGTACCTTTGTTCTGACTGTCTAGACTAATGCAGGATAGTTCTACACCCCACGTACATCTGGAAATGGAACATAGATAGTGGATTTAGATGAAACTTCAGTAGCACAGAGTATGATCTTTTTTACTAATTGTATTGTTAATGTGAAATTACAAAAAATGCTTCTGATGTAGGGAAGATGAAGAGGTGGGGACAAAAAGCTCCAATGACCAGATCTCATTTTGGGGAAGCAGATGGAAAGACTCTAAGCTAGACCACCTGTTTTTGAATTTGAGCTCGGCAACAACCCTTGTAACTTACACAACTTATGTAAATTTTTTGTACTTCAATGGTGCATCCTTAAACTGGGGAAAACACCACCGCTAACACAAGATTGTTGTGATGGATTAAATAAGTTATCACATATAAAAGTGCTTAGGAGAACTTCATAAATGTCACGTACTATTATTTGTCAGTAAGAAAACTGACAGTCAAAATGCACTTGATGACCTCTTGAAGCCTTAATTCATTTTGGTCCAATACACTGGTTATATCTTTAAATTCCAATTTTGTTTCAGTGGTCAGGATTATTGTATAAAGGATAAACCTCGAACTAAGGATTAAAAGATCTTGCTTCCAGATCTATGTCAATCACTAGGCAACAGTATGATGCTTGTCAAGACAGTTGATTTTTTTAGGTCTACTTGTCCTGTCTCTAATGAAATGGAAGATGATCTCTAATGTCAATGATAGTATCACATAAACCTTTAGACTATGTTTGTTCATTTTGTTAACTGGGCAGGAAAAATAGCATTATGAGTAAATATAAAGTCAATGTAACATACTCACAATTTTACAGGAACGCAAGAAAAACTCAACAAAGGTAAATTTGAATATTTACAAGATCACTGTATTACCAACTAGAATGAGGCCACAGGGTGGTATTTACTTGTAGAAATATTCAGAAGCCAAAATGTTGGCAAAATATGGGAATAGCAAAACATCCCAATAGGATTCTTTCAATGTGCTAGAGCTTGCATTTTCATGATGTTATTAAGAGGATCACTGGGTTTATTTAAAACCATATATACTGATGACCTTAGCAATAGATAATGATAACCGTTTTATTGAAGAGGTCTTTAGACCATAATTTCCACATTCTTTTGTCAGAACTTAGAAAATAATATCAGGGCTTTTCTTTCTTTTGCTGCTTTTCTCAGGGACTTGTTATTAAATATCAAGTAGAGAAATTTCTACACCAAAAGCAAATTAGCTAATTTTCAAGCAATATTATTTTCCATTTGAAAGAAAAATATATTGTGTGTGAATTCAAATGCTTGATTTCACATTTCTCTCTCCCAACCCTACTTTTGACTCTGCCTTGTTAATATACATCTCTTTTCAGGTCAAAATCAAATTCCAAACCATCATTATCTTCAACCTTTCCAAATGACATTCATTTTTCCCTTTTCAGGGCCCCAAAGCCATTCATACTTCAAATGTTAGAGTTTTCACTTCACAGTTGTGTGCTGGTGCATTCTTTCATTTAACTCCATAAGACTATGGAGTCCATCTATAATCAAAGTTTGCACAAAAATACAGTCAACAATGTGTCCACATATTTCTCTGTCCAAAAAGGTCTTAAGTACAAAGGCTTCATTCTTATTGATTTCTGCCACTAGATCTGGTATATACCATCAATAAAGCTGTTGATTATCCAAGTTGTGGAATGAAATAATTGTATTTTTGTGAATTATAACTAGAGAAAAGAAAGCAGATTCTTCTTTTTTTTTATATTCTGAAGGGAAATGGATTATGTAAGTGGTAATTTCTTGGGTTTGTCAAAAAGTTAATTCACTCAGACCACTGACAACCAACACAAACTAGATCTTTACAGTGAGCTGCCAACTGCTCTGAACTCCCATCAAGGGATTCAGCCCCTGATCCGGAGAATGGTAAATAATAATTTTCATCATTCATAGGGGGATTAGTTGGCGCCTTGTCACTTATGTCTGTAACAGAACAAAATATGTACCACAGTCACCAGATTACCATTAAGGCCAATCTTCACTGGCTTCTCCTGTCATTTAAAATCAATTACATTTACCTTTAAGGGTTCCTTCCTGTAAAGCCATTCACAGAGGAGAATCCAGAAGCCAAAATACCTATTTGTTTCCTATTATTAGAAATTTGTCAGTTGGTATTGTGCCCAATAATGGGCATCTGTCAAAATGATAATGGCCCTTTTACCAGTTCATTTGTATTTTCCCAACAGAGGCCTTAGCTGTCAAAAGATTCTGTGGTAGGAGCAGAGGGTCATTATGACCCCTGACCTCACTGTCAGTCAGGAGAAAATAAAAATCACAAGCAAAGGAAACAAGGCATATTGGGTTCAGTCCCGGGGTTAAAAATCCATCCTCGTGGCTAACTTCCATGAAGGGAGAGTAGAAACATGTTTCTTGTACAAATGGCATTCTTTATCTGGTATCTATTTGTTCCGACTGGAGATATTAGTAAAAAACGGAAAACATCATTCCATTCTAAATAATAAGATACTAGTTACTTCATATCAGCTAGTTATTACATGCAGAGAAGATATTCAACCCGTATCATCTGAAACACAACAAAGTTCAGATGTATTTGCTCAGAAGTTTGGTTCTTTCTCTATCATTAAGTATCCTAAAGTGAATAAATTTATTCTACCCTAAATGAAACAACCAAGTCACAAACCACGGACCTATTCATAGACCACCATGTGCTTCATGCCAAGAGTTGTTGAGAACTTGGTTGTCAGCTTAAATATAAATACATGCAAAGTAGTTCTAGAGATTTGTAATCTGAAAATCTAGTAGTTTTTGAACTAGAAGAGATGTCAGAGATCAACTAAGTAGTCCCTTTATTTTTTAGATGATAGAATTGAGAGTAGCAGTGGCAGGAGGAGGGGGCTTGGCTATGTAGTTACCCTGCAACCCTGAGCAAAATGAAATGTCGAGCCCAAGTTTTCTGTCTTCTATCTTGGAGGCAAACCTAACAATACTGCCTCATCCATGTCAGTCATCAATACTCTTCTGTTTAATAAAGAGCCATGTGATCTGGAAATACAGGAAAATTACAGGGAATTCAGTGTCAAAGAGGGACCATCACTGCTTGGGCCAGGTAATGAAACTCACCCCTACCATTACCACAGTGAAAGGAGTTCACGTATTCACTAAAGCAGGGCAGATTTTTTTAAAGTCTTCTATTGGAAGGAGCTAGAGCCAGGATAGGATTACAATTTTTACATGTGTTTCCCTGACATAATGACAGTTTTGTACTCAGACAGCTCTTGGAGGTGGGTGTAAAGTAAAATTGGGGTACAGAAGAGGGTGAATAGGACATGTTAGCTTCTTTATTCTTCTCTTTCACAGAACCCTGGTCCAACCAGAAGCAAGGTCTCTGCAGCCTCTATTTCATCCACTAGAATACTGACTATCTTGTGGTAAGCCAGCCAAAGTTATGGGCAAATTTCAAATTCTCTTAGGGAAAAAAAAAACTAGGGCAGGGTAGTTTGACATTCCCAGAATAAAGCGTTTTATTCTCCATACATTAAAAAGGTATAAATACCAATAAAATAATAATATAATAAAATATCAATAAAATCAGGAAATTATTGTTCAGAAAAATTCATCAGTAAATGACTGTGTCCTGAAAGCTCTTCCTTAAGAGTATTAAGTATGGATACACACTATAAATCCTTTAGCAATACTTATTTACCAGAATGAGCAAGAAAATGTGTCAAGTATGTAAAAAAAAAATCAAAATCTTCTTCTCTGTATTCTCATCTATTTCTAAATGATTCCCCATGAGAATCTTTACAGAGGTTCCAACATGTCCGTTTAAAAAATTCTTCTTCCCCCATCCCATCTCAATGCTTTCAAATTCTGGCCCATAGTGTCAACATAGTAAAGCAGTCTCCCAAGGTAGAATTCCCATCTTTTCTGTGAAGAAATTCTATCAGGGAAGTCAATACTCTTTTCCCAGCATTATTTAGCTAGTTTTTCAAATTTGAATTGTGACTTAGATGTAAACTCAGATAGTGACTTGGATGATAATTAAATTTGAATTTTTAAAAGGTACCTTTCCATTTTGACACTGAGATTTAGAAATTTGAGATCTTTCCTTGTGCTGGTCTCCTTATCAATCTAGCAAATAGCAAATCACTTCATACAAGTTAGCTTCTTCCAAGCATCTTACTTTTTTTTTTTAGAATGGGAGAAAATAATTGCAAATAATACATCATAAGAGAGTTGTATCCAAAATTCCTATTCTCACAATTCAAGGACCAATAATCCAGTTAAAAATTTGACAAAGTATCTAAATAGATCTTTCTTGCAGGAAGATATACAAAAGGCCAGTAACCATATAAAGACATGATCAACATCATCAAATATTGGGGAAATACAAGTCAAAATCACAATAAAATACCACTTTACACCCACTAGAATGGCTAAAATCAGAAAATAAGGGAATACCAAATGTTGGTGAAGATATAGAAAAATTGGAACTCCTAATTAAACACTTTGGATGGAATATAGAATGACACAGTCATTTTTGAAAATAGTTCCTAAAAAGAATAACCACAATTCAGCAATTTCACTTCTATGTAGGTATGCCCCCCCTAAAAAATATGTGTCTACGTGAGACCTGTACATAAATGTTTCTAGTAACATTCTTTGTAATAGACATAAGGTAGAAACAATGCAAATGTCTATTAACTGTTGAGTAGATGAATAAAATGTTAATTTACACAATGAATTATCATTAGACCATAAAAAAGGAATGTTGTACTCATACATGTTACAACTTGGATGAACTCTGAAGATATTATTCTAATGTAAAGAGTAAAGATATTACATATTATTTGATTCCACAAACATGAAATATTTAAAATAGGGGCATCTATAAAGATAGAAAGTAGATTTGTGGTTGCTTAGAAGAGTGGGGTAGAATGAGGTGATAGGATGATAAAACAGGATTTAATTCCAAGGTGATATTCTCCAGTTCACCGTGTTATCTGGGCATGGTGGTGCACATTTAAAATCCCTGCATTGGGGAGGCTGAGGCAGAAGGATCTAAGCAAGTTCAAGGCCACCCTGGACTACATAGTGAGTTCAAAGCCAGCCTGAACTACATAGTGAGACCTGTCTCAAAAACAAAACAAAAGAAAGTCCACTGTGGTGATAGTTACACACATCTGTGAATATACTAAAAAAGTCACCGAACTGTACACTTTAAATAGGCGATTGTATGGGATGTAAATAACATCTCAATAGACTTGTTAAAAATTTAAACACTATTTTGAACACTTCTTGTCTTCATGTTATCAAGGAATTTGCTATTTAGCAAAGAAAAAATCGATGTGTAAAGTGTTATAAATTCTCCCAATTATAACATTTACTTATTGTAAAATTTTTTTGATTTTTTGAAACAGGGTCTCACTATGTAGTCCAGGCTGGCCTTAAACTCGCCTCAGCTTCCTGAGTGCTGGAATTATAGCCATGCGCCACCATGCCCACCTATCACAGTAATTTTCTATACATTGTAGTTGGAAAACCTGAGAACATTGAATACTCACCTAGTCAGCACTAAAACAAATCCTTTAATCTCAGATGAATTTTCCTTTATAAACCATTAATGTTTTGATACTGAAGACTTACTACATTTAAATATTATAAATACATAGAATAATAAGGCCATCACCCCAGTACCTAAAAAAACCAAATGTTATTTTACAAACCGATTTGAATTGGCTATTTTCATCTTTCAATTTCACAACATGCTTGATTTTTTGCTTGAGATTTTGATGACCCAATAATTCAGCATATGTATCTCTTATTTAGTTGTTCCTGAGTTGCACCATGTTCATTCAACAAGGCCAGTTTCTCTGTTTCAAAGGCATCTAGTTGTTGCTGAAAGGGTTTTGTTTTATTATATAGTTCTTCATAAAGGAGATGCCATTTATTAACTTCTTCAGTTAATTCTGCCACTATATTTTCTTTCTCAGCTTTTCTTTCTTCTCCTTCTCCTTCTCCTTCTTCTTCTTGTCTCCTAAAGTCTTCATCTTGTTGTTTGAGTTGGTTCTGCAAATCAGTTATTTTTTTAAGAGAAGAAACTGTGATTTCTTTAATTTCTGCTTCTTTCAATACTGACTTGTTCTGCAGATCTTGAAGCATCCTCTCATATTCTTGATTTGTGCTCTCAGTTTTTGATATTTGATGTTGAACATCCTCTGTGTTTTTTTCAGCTTTGGCCACTTTTTCCTGTAGTGATGCATTCTCCAGCTTGAAATCATCTATTTCACTAGTTATTAATGCTTTATAGCTTTCAAATTTAGCAGTAACATCTCCAAGGTTTTTCACTGTACTATTATACTTTTCCTGCAAAATCAGGGTAGCCTGAATGTGAACAGTATGACTCTTATCCAGTTCAGATTCTTTCTCTTTCAGCTGTTGTTCTAGGAGGCTTAGTGTATCAGCTGTAGCTTTTGTTTCCTCTTCCAGCTGCATGACAAGCTTTTCAGACTGCTTCTCCTTCTGCTGTACTATATCTAGTTCTTCCAGTGCTAGCTTCAATTCTTCTGCACAGAGATTCCTCTCTTTAATCATTTCCTCTTGAAAAGAACATAGCTTCTGCTGAAGAGTAGAACATAATTCCTTCTCTTGATGGCAAAGTGACTCAATTTGCAATTCTTTTTGTTGTAGTCTTTCATGTTCTTGTTTTTCAAGAATAAGGTTCTCTTTTAAGCTTTGCATCTCGGCATTTATATTTTCATCCCTTTCTCTATTCTTGTTGACAAGGTCTTCTTTTTCTGTTCCAAGCAGCTGACATTTAGCATTCAGGTCTTCTACTTGTTTAGAGAACATAACAACATTTTCCTCAAAAGTTTGTTTAAGGCTTAAAATTTCTTGATTCTTCTTTTTCAAATTTTCTTCTAAATGAGCAATATCTAGCTTATATTTTTCCACTTGATCTGATTCACAATGAATTTCTTCAATATATTCTAAGAGCTTTTCTGTTTCAGACTTTTCGTCACTCTTTTCTTTCTCTATTGAAACAAGTTTCCCCTCAAGTTCTGCTATCTTCCCCTGAGACTCTTGGAAATTCCTCTGAGTGACCTGCGGCTTTATCTCCATGCTCTCTTGCTTTGCCATCATACTCCTCATTTTTGTTTCTCTTTTGTTTTTAAGTTTCATCAATTCCAGGCTTAGAATTCTCATATTCTTCTGGCTACCATCTTCAGAAAACTTAGATTTTAGTAGTTCATTAGTCCTGGTTAATTCAATAAGTTGTTTCTCCAGTGAAGCATTATTTGCAGAGAGGGATGTTTTTTCCCTCACTGCAACACTTAACTTGGCTTCCATCTTCTCTAACTCAGTTTCTATACTCTGGATTCACTTATCCTGAGCACCACGCTCCTGCACAACGGCACGAATCTCTTTTTCTAATCTCTTCAAATCTGTATCATTCTTCTGAGATTCCCTCTTTAACTCCAAAGCCTTAGCTTTCTTAGCTGAACCAGGCAAGGTAGTATCTTTGTCAACATTAAGATTTTGTTGAGATTCTTTTTGTTTTTTAAATCTTCGTGATTTCTGAAAGGATACTGGTCCTTTAGACACCTCTGATGTGTTAACATCATAAGCGCCTGGAGATGGAGCACAACCGGAAGGGTCATTGAATCTTTTCAGCGGCGCCTTAGGAAAGGACATGCTGACAGCCACGTCCAGAAACCTAAATCACTTAGAACTCCTCCCAAGCATCTTACTTTCTAGCTGGAGCTACTGACATGAGAACATGTTCTGTTTATGAAAATAATCTGTTTAAGAAAAGGTAAACTAGAAATTCTTATCCTTTGAAGGAATTTCTTTCAAGGCTGGTGTCATCCTCTCTTCGAAAATAAGCACATTTCAATTTAAAGAATAATTTTATTCCCAAAAAATTTGATTTCTACAAAATGGATATTAAAGTAACACTTTAGAAATTCAATAAATACCAGTTTTTTCAAAGAAATACTAGATTGTTTCATCTCACCAAGTCAACTTAGAAACTGAAAACAGCTGAAACAGACAACTCTAGTCTGCCCCCAGCTAAACTTAACTCTAATGACAACAGACATGTATCAGTTAGTTCGTACAATTTTCTTTTCATTAACTGAATAGAAGAACTTCAGTTTAAATTAAAGACTGCCCCAGCAAAGGCTGTCCACCATCTTCTTCCACCTCCAGAATAGTAGCTTATCACCTAAGTTTTAAATTGAGCACCTAGTTAAGGTTCTTTCTATAACACAGAATGAAAAGGTCATTCAATATCTGAGTTGGTGTCATGCACAATTTGCATTCTCACAGACAGTTTGATAATAGATGAAGGTAATGGTTAATACATACAGAAACTTTTGTGTCTAATAATGGCTTTGTCTGAAATTTATAGTCAGTAATTTACATTTCTAGATGCCTATGTAGTGAGTGATCCATTTTATTTTTTTTCATTTTTCATTTTTGGGGTACAATTTAGATTTACATATTGTTCACATTCATCATAGGGAATTTGTACCTTTACATTATGTATCTTGATTCCTTTTCTTTTTTTCCCATTCCCCTCCCTTCCCTTCAACCCCTCTTCCCCTTCCTTATTTATAAAAGCCTCGTTTCCATTTTTTCCTTCTTTTCTCATTTTTTCTTTTTCCTTCCTTCCTTTCCCCCTCCCCCGTCTCTAGTTCCCCCTTCCTACTGAATGATTTTTTTCTTATTTTACATTGTCTATTATGCCTTTTGGTCTCTATTTACATTTTCAATTTCTTACACCAGAGAGACAATGCAATATATTTACACATAAGTGATCCATTTTAATAACCTTGGATAAACTGTAGAGTTTATGTTTTTTGTCTAATGGTAGAAATGACAGCCACATCCCACTAATTGTAGATATCCATCTACTCATTCAACACACATTTACTGAGCAAAGAGGATGGGCCAGGAACTGGCCACTAAGAAATTATTTACTTTAACAATGTTTTTTAAAATTAATTTTATTGGTACATTTTAGGTATACAATATAATGGCATTCATCATTGGAAATTTGCACCTTTAAATAATCTCTCTTGGTTCTTATTTTTCCCCATTCCCCTGCCCTCCCTTCAACTCCTCCATCCCCCCATATTTACAAAGACTTTGTTTTCATTTTTTTCATTTTCTCATATTAATTCCATTCCCTTCTTTCCTTTCCCCTACCCTTCCCACTTCCCCTTCCCCTTTGCCCCTTTTCTTCCTATTTACATTAACAATGTTAAAAGAGTTGTAAATACACAGGATTTCTTTAAGATAGAAAAAGCAAAGGGAACTAACATTAATGGGCTATCTACTTGGATCTCTTATGCATGACTCTATTTAATTTTCACAATGAACCTATGTTAGTTCTCTTTTTTAGAAGAAGAAACTGAGGTTGTAAAAGGTTAAAAGACTGACTCAAGGTTACTACTAGTACCACAATAAGCATTTGAACTATAGTCTAATTAAGGGAAAAACTCTCCATTCAACCTTACTGGCTTTCATAAATATGGCTAAAATATTTATAAACCACAGAGCAATTCATGGTAGTTTATAAACTTAATGGATAAAATAGATTTTTTTCTTACTACTAAGAGTAATACAATGTTTAGGAGAAAAGATTCCAAAGCAATCTGTTTTTTAAAATTATTATTACTAAATGCTATTGTTGTCTGTACTATATTGTGTTATTTCTAATCACATACAATGATATTGCTAGGTGATCTCAAAAGCTGAGCCAAGAGGGAAGGCTGGGTGACAATTTCTCCATTTGGAACTGCTGAATTTCACTGAGGTGAAAATGTGCAACTTTCTTCACACTTTTACTGAGTTGATAGTTGTTGTTTAACCTAAAAGCTGGGAATATGCTAAAACCAAGGTATACAGAAGAAATATAAAGCAATTTTGGAAAAAGAAATAATTTAGGAGATGATACTTCATTTCAGGTGAGTCCTAAAGCTTATGAAATTTACACATTTTTTGAGATGCCCCTCCTTACTCTGAACCCATTTAAGAATGTTTCCAATCTTATTTCTAGGTTAATAAAGATTGCCCTTAAAATTATAAAGAAGACAAGGAAATAAAATAAAGGAGGAAGGGTATTTTTACATTTTCAGTACATGAAGAAAACATACCATACCAACACACCTGCATGTTATACATGGAATACTAGAGTTGAAAGAAGAATTTAAACTGCTCAAATGATTTAATCAAGTGTGAAACAAACATTTTTGGTCCAAGTATTGTTTACTTAATTCTTTAATCATACCATACTTATAGTAAAGATGGGAGTAGCATAGTTCTTCAAACAAAAGAAATGAACATGCCTAAGAGCATTATCCTTCAGATAATTATTAAGCATCCAAAGGTTTAGTCTTCCCTTGCATAGATCAAGAATACATAAGAGCTAAGATAATATACAATTGCTGCCTTGAATTATATTTTATTTTCTGCAGTGCATGAAGAGACAAAACCACCCACACACACTTCTGTTACCTGATATAATTTTCACCTACAAAGCCTTAATGGAAATATGTAATGCCATAGTGTCACATCTCTACCTTGGCTTTCTGAGTAGTTAGTAGGAGATTTCAATGGGTGAAGGGTTTGGAGGTGAAGAATGTCCTAGATCTGAGACTGGTGATGCTAGAAATGGGTCAAGCAATAAAGTGAGGACAGAGAAAAACATATTTAGGGAATCTTTCTCTTCCACAGCCTGGGACTCTTATTCTCTATGGGCACTATTATTACAGGTAGAGCTTGGTCAGCTCTGGAAAAGCAGTTAATTAATTCCTTTTGTAATCACTTTCTCTGACCAAAGCACAAGTTTATCAAAGGTGAAATTTATAGTACCCAAGAGAGAAATGGTGAAATACACTTCCAATTGCATATAGCTCCCTCCTCCCCAACTTGCTTTTAAAAAAAAGGAATGGCAGTTGCATAGAAACAGAAAGAAAAAATTAGAAGAAAAAAATTGGGGCTGAATATTTTTTAAAAGCCCTGAAATACCTGTATCTATCAGACTATAGATTTGTCTTTTAAGGGGAAAGCATTCAAAACTTAAATGGATGTAATACAAAGCACAGGAAGAGGGATTACTTTGACCTAGCAGAAAACAGCCTGCTCCAGTCTACCTAAGCAGGTCATTTCCCAGTTCTCATTTATATTTTTCATTCCCTTTGGTATGCTTTTCTGAAGGATTGCTTTGGGCCTTCATTGCAAAATTCCTAATATGCTTTTATAGGTATTAATGTCTAAATCCTGACGTAGCAGTTTGAAAATCAGGCAATAGTTTTTATCCTACATATTTTACTTCTACTCACATAACAATTTCTAGAGCTGTGGGACTAGAATCCATAAAAGTGAAATTATGTTTATGTATATCATATGGTTAAGATTATGGGGGAATTGTTCATAATTCATTTGTCAAGGGGCTAAACCCTGCACTTCAATATATCTCACAGGGCATCAAAGCAAGTAGCAACAATAAGCAGGGCAACAATAAGTAGCTATCTTTGACTCTAATTACTTTCCAGTTTCAACTTTAAATTTTATTGATAAAACTAATAGGTATATTTATATGGCTCAAAGGACTTACATCACTTTCCAGAAGACAGAAAAATGCATATTCAGGACTGCATATTTGGAATATGAAAGTTTCTAATGTCAACAAATAGATAATTACTTTTGATATTTTGCTCACACATATGCTCTTACGTATCTAAGAGCCTTACCGTACCTTAAACACTAGGCTAATCAGAACTGACCCACTTATGATTACTTCAGAATTGTTTTCAGTATTGTTCCTCCTTGCTTCACCTGAACTTTGCTTCAAGAAAGAAGAAAATATTAGTAATAATAGTCATTACAAAAATTTTAATTAAAAAACGCACACAAGTGAGCAGCATTTTCCTGGGGTATGTTCTGGTGTTGGCACACATTTTTCTGAGTATTACACATCTATTCCTACATCTATTCAGTACAATGAAAATCTAGTATTTATAAGGATAATGCTAGGCACTGAATGAACTACAATAACTAAACAGCAGTTAACTTGTCTCAGAGTTAATGGTTTTTAAAACTGCACAGGACCAGGAAAATTACCATTTTACAGGTAAGGAAATTGAGGTTCAGAAAAATAAAGTGACTTGCCTAAGTCTGAGAAGTAAATGACAGCAAGAATTCAAAGCCAGGTCTTATTTACAAGACCAACTCTTCTTTCACATCCTCTCTATTTCTAACTTGTCTTTTTTTAACCAGGTTAAATTCGGAAGGCAAGTTTTCCTGGAGTCAATCCCCTATAGGCCTGAAATTTTACTATTGACTACCAATGCCTTGATTTGTGGAGCTTAAACCAGGTGATTTAAATTTACCTCAGGAATTATGAAGCTCAAAGCAGAGCCAAATCTATGGATCCCAGTAATGCTTCTTTTTACTATAAATTTTTACTTAAGAAATCCACATCATTTTAGTATGTACCAAAAAGAGAGGCTAAATACACAATTTTCCCTAGGGCCAGCTTTCTTTTAAAAGGGAATACTAGGTGGAATGTGACATATTGCTAACTCAAACTCTTTGTTATCCATCAGTACTTCACTTAATTCTGGGTTGCAAAGCATCCTTATAAGGCTCTTACCTAAAAAAAATCCAAGCATTGACAAGTACCCCTGGATATGGACCTGTCCACAGATATTAAAGCAAGCAGTGCACATTTAAAGCCTTCGGCCACATTTATCCAGTTCTTGCTGTATAATATGTGAAGTCTACATCCTTGCAATGCTAATGCACCCCAAAAGCACTTGCCTTTTCTTGTGTCTGTTCACACAAAAGATTGTCCCTTTTTTGTTATTGTTATTGTTATTTATTTATTTATTTATTTAGAGACAGGGTCTCACCGTGTAGCCTAGGCTGGCCTCAAACTCACAGCAATCCTCTTCCT